GTGTCAATTATTGTGAACTCAATTTTTACCTTCTTGGTGCCAGCCTGCACTTCCAAACTTACTGCTCCCAGGGGCCACATCGGTGTTCCATTGAACCCGACCATTAGACCATTGGATTGTTCCAGATTATCTTAGTATAGGCCAAGCTCCTTGTAACATCTGACATATATGATGTCACAAGAGCTACCCTGGTCAATCAGAATTCGCTTTACCTGGCATTCTCCAATTTGAAGGGATATTACCAAGGCATCATTGTGTGGATGTTGCATCATCTCCAGGTCATCTTCAGTAAAGGACACCACTGGTCCCTGGCACTCGTTTCCCCTTGGTCTCTTCTGCCTGACCTAATACACATGTTGCAGGTGTTTTACCTTTTGAGTTTTCCCACGTATCTCGCTCTCATTGACCTTCGAGTGAATTACGTTGATCACTCGAGGTCTGCTTGCTTGCGGTTGTGGTGCTGGTGGAGGTGGTGTTGCCAATGCCTGAGGTAGTCTTGTTTGCTCTTCCCTTGTCCTGGTCTCATCTATCAGGTCTCTTAAATGACCCTGTCTTACCAGATCTTCCAGATGTGCCTTTAGGGCTTTGCACCCTTGAGTTAGATGTCCATCCTCATTGTGGTAGGCACAATGTTTCCCCAGACTTCTTCCATAAATTCACCAGGAAGCTTTTCCTGTGCTCTGTAATAGGGCTAATTCTGAATTCTTTCCAAGGCTTTGTAGACCGGAATTCGGAATACAGTTATGACTACCTGTGCAACCCTTAGTCCTGTTTCTGGTTTATTGTATCCACCATTACCTCGGTCTTGCTTCGGCGAGCCGTTTTTCTTCTTTTGTTTTCACGCCTTTGTCCCTGGCATGTCGTCCTCGGCCTTGGCATACTTTTCTATCCTGGCCATAAGTTCCTCCATGCTTTTTGGTAATGTCTTTGCCAGTGATTTTCGAAGCAGTCAATCATCTTCAGGCCGTTTTTAAAAGACACGACTGCCACCTCTTGGTTGCATCCTAGTATTCGGTTGAATACCTCATAATACCTTTTGGCATAGGCCCTAAGACTTTCATCCTCGCCAATTCTCAGAGCCATCAGGGCATCTACCCTCAATGGCTGCAGTTTGTTTGTTACAAACCTAGCCACGAACATCTCGGCTAGGCCTTCCTAACTTTTCACAGTTCATTTTGGCAACTTGTGAAACCAGTCTGATGCAATTTCTCCAAAGAATGAGGGGAACACTTTGCAGAGCAACGGCTCGTTCCCGGTGTATAGTGCCATCGAGTTCAGGTACAAGCCAACGTAAAAGTTAGGGTCAAACTTACCGTCGTATATTTGGAATCTCAACATGTGGAACCTTTTCGGGGCCTCAAATTTGTCCAACTCCACTGAGAACGGTGTTCTCAACTTGACCAGAGAGGTTACCTCAGCATCTTGGCGCTTTCTCTGGAGGTAATCCCTAAAATCCTCCTTGGTCCGTCCAGGAGCTCGGCTATCAACGGATTTCAGCCTTTTCGGTGCGCTACTCCCAGTATCGTTATGAGTCATCTTGGACCTTTCTCCATTAGTTGCATCGAAACACAGTTCCTTCCCTTGGACATGCCGATGTTCTTTGGGGTCAGCTTCCTTGGTACGATGCGTCCTCCGAGAATCTCCCATTCTTGACTCTCCTCGTCTGACCTCCCTTGAAAGCCAGTGAGAGTGTTCCTCGGTTCTCGTGTGTTGGGAAATTGTAGGGATTATTTTCTGTCCCCCTTTCTGAGCATTGTTCTTGGTCGCTGAAACCGGCATGTCTTGTAACGGGAATGGTGGCTGCATGACGTTGTTCTGCATCATGAAATTGACGACTGATTGTAGGTCTGCCAATTTGTTCGCCATTCTCTTCATCTCGCTGTCCCTCCGCAGGCATCTATCCTTCCATACCTGGAGGTCGTCCTTGTTATAATACCCGCCTCGGTCTGACTTCTTTGGCGCGTCGGCCTCCTCGCCGACGTCTTTCTCTCTGGAATTCCTATCTTGAGTTTCTTTGTTGCAGATATCCTCCTCCATGTTAGGGACAATGTGCTTACCACTCCCAGTAGGGATGTCATCCCCAATCTTCTCTTTCTATCCATCGTTGGCCATCTATTCTCCTTTCTTTCCTACAGACGGCGCCAAATTGTGTGTTGTTTTCTGACCACACTGCCAAACAGGTACTCAGCTGGAGAACATTGGCAGAATAGATGGCACCCAAAGACCTGCCACAGAAAGAAAAAGACTCCGGAGGTGGTTCGTCCACCTGGGGGCACTCCGACGATCAAGTCAGTTATCTCTCAAAGATAGCAAAAGTGCTTAACTCACTATTCAGAATACAAAAGGCGTACCTTAGACCCACGAGGGTGCCTTACTTTTATAATCAACACTGACATGATCCCTGTAAAAGCCTAGCTTCAATGGACTCTGGCTCAATGCCCGTCCAGGACTCTCAAATAGATAAAGATAAACTCCCTAAGAGCTTTATCCTTATCCTGGTTGAAGTCCTCCCTCATTCTAAGACTCTTATAACTTATCCGCTCATCTCGGATTCCGGTATCTCCGCAGATAACCTCGACCTAGCCGAGATTACCTCAACGTCAAGTCAAGGACACGTGGCACCTAGGCTAGCACTTCGGTGCCACCTTGGCCACGTGTTGCTCCAAAAAATATGTCCCCACAGATACAGGTCTAAAGATGCCAATGCTAATTACTTAAAATGACAATTACTATCCTTAAAGAGATTCTTACTTCTATACTAATTTATAAGTTTAATTTTATTTACCCACCTTTAAATAATACCCTCACTTTTAATCGGTTAAAAGAGTGGTTTTGTTGAATATTTTTTTTGGGTGCAGTTTTCGATCACAAGTGTTAGAAATTTGTGTTCTTTAATTTTGCTTTGTCAGCAAAAATGGATTGAGATGGTTGATCTAACCAGAGTTATTCAAAGTTTTTATTTTTCCTTTTTAATCATTTTAATGTTTCTCACTATCCTACTTTTGTTCCTACTATTTGGTCCTTATTACTTCTCACAGAATTTCGTTATAATTAAAGACATCAATTTAGATAAATTACATGTGTGTGAAACTTATCCTCAAGATCCTAATATAACTTTTTTGTTCTAATAATCTATTATATTACACTTTCAACACAAACCAGACAAGTAGTGGTGATGGTGCAGGTTCTGTGTGTCTTTTATTTGAGCCTATGGCCAAGCACATGGTGGGCAATAGAACTTGTTCAAATTCAAGTAAGAAAAAAAAAACCACATCCATGAATAAATCGCCACATGAAACCCCAAAAATCAATTAGCAATAGTCATGATTTAAATCGAATCAAGGGTTTGTCTTGTAATTGTAAATCAAATAAATACCGTGAATCCGTGATTTATGGAAGCATGTTTTCTGAGTCTTCCTTCTACTCTGATTGCGTCGATTGTACCATCACTGAATTGATATTTCCTTTAGGGCTGATTCTTTTTTCTGGAACTGAAGGCCTTGAGTAAGTAGAGTGGATGGCGGTGGCCAGGCGGTTCTCTGTATTTGTGATGAGTCGGTTACGTGGCACACCATCGACGCTTCCAGTTGTCTTCCGTGAGACCACGTGGCCCACAGATTGCAAGCCCATATGGCTTTAGATTTGCAAAACCACAATGGCGGTGGGTGAATCAAGTAATTTGAGGGAGTTTTAAGGATACTTTAGTCATATGGTTTTCACGCTTTTAATATTTAGTGAGTGATTCTACTTAGGCTATTATTTTACCTTTTTACATCATTCATTTCATTATATCACTAAAAAGAAATATGGTTCTCATTATACTTATTATATTACCAAAACTAATCTAAAGTAAGACACTTCAAAACCCTTTCATCTCTTTACACCAATAGTTTTTGAAAGGAAAATAAGGGAACAGAAAAAGACGCAGTAAGGAAAAAGAGAAAGACACAGGGAAAACAGTGAGTGAAGCCCACATTGAAGTGCCTATTCGGTCATACAGTACTAAACAATTTACATTCCTCTAGTGTTATGTTACTGGAAAAAATAGATTTCTCCAACGTTTTGTTACTATACATTTACAGAGCCACTTTCTTTTCGACCAATGATTTTTAAATTTGTGTCGGGCATGTTTGGTAATATAATGCTAATGCATTTGAATTAATCCAGTGCCATGTTACGAGACAAACTTTTTTCTTCCAGCAATATGTTGCCATTTGATTGAATGATAATAAGAAATTAATTTGGGGCTACTTGTGAAGTGTCTATTCGATGATACATTGCTGTACAAATTAGATTACTCTAGTGTCATGTTGCTTTGTCTAGCCACCTATCGCTGTACATTGAAAGATTTATTTCTTCCTTCAAACATCCATAAAAAAAAAATCCATAAATCAAACACGCATCTATAAAATCATACATAAAAACACTACAACAAATTACACTTTTGGTGACTAAATTTTTAGTCACCAAAAGTTATTTTTTAGTTGCCGAAGTTTTTGCTGATTAAATTTTTTGGTCGTCAGCTTTGTCGCTAGATGATTGTTGGGAAAAGTATTGGCGACTAATTTTTTTTTAGTCGCCGAAAGTCACCAATTGGCAACTAAAAATTTAGTCGTCCAAAAAAAAATATTTAGTCGCCAAAATGAAAATATTTACCATCTTCATTTTTTTCGCTATCAATTTTTTAGTCGCTAAAAACATGACACTCCTTTTTGGCTATCAATTTTTTAGTCGCCAAAAACTTTCATTTTTTTTTTTTTTTGACTACTAACTGTTTAGTCGCCAATAAGTTCCTTTTTATTTTTTGGCTACTAAATGTTTAGTCGCCAAAAGCTCAAGCTCTATTTATTAATTTTTTTAAAGTGCACAAATTGAATATTTTCATTAATTCTAAATTATATGCATTTCATTATTAATGCAATCTGTAACCTGTAACCTATACGTATACAGAATAATACATCTATCAATTATAATCTAAATCCATTATGAATAATACCCATTTCATTATCAACTATTAAAAAACTTTAACTTGTAACATCATATTCCAAATATCATATAAATCCACACAAACTAAGTATAATCTATCTAAATTAAATATTACATACAAAAACACTGGATTTTCAAAACAGATGATTGTTCCAAAATAAATGTTTTCCATATACAGAACAAATGCTCTTCGTACACATCTACAATAGCCCACGCAAAAGTAATCTGTAAAAAAAGAAAAAAAAATTAACCATTAGCACTTATTCAATAATATTGGCATTTCAAATTAAAACAATTATAAAATTAATAATTTAGATATATTATACTCTGCAAATTATAATAATTCTACAGTTAAAATTAATAATTTAGATATATTATACTTTGCATATAATCCCATCAACATCATTTTAATGTTTTTATTTTGTTTGAAAATTTATACAACCTCCAAATTGAACCTCGTGCCTGCCTAGTAAACTCTAGTTTGACAATTACATACAATGTTTCCAAAATTTTCTTTTCTCACCAGTATACAGCATGATCCTAATTGTTAATCAAAATCCTTCAGCAGTTTTCATCAAATTTTGTTACTTTTGGCAGTCTGCATTTTCACAAATCTTGAACATTGAAGGCACTATAGTTCCACAACCTTCAGTATTGAAAACATAATATGAGGATGCAAAAATTTCATTATACTTTATTTAACTAGAGAGATGTATATAATGTAGGTTAGCATTTATGTTTTCCAGTTAGACTTCGTCAAACAAAATATATAGAAACCCAAATCCAAAATCTTCTAAATTGAGCTCGACAAATTTCTAGCCAATACAAGACTTCAAGACCGTGTTTTAAACTAACATTATTAGGACAACAAAGAACAAATTCAATATCTACCCAGTAGTGCCTTTACCATCTTTTGCCGATCATAAATTGGCATAGTGTGACATGTTAACTTTTATTTATTTATTTTTATTGAAGAGGATTATAATTAATTGAATGTAAACGAGAATATAAGTGAAAATTAAGAAGAAAAGTATCTTGCCGATATATTACCACCAATATCAGATTTCACAACCGTTATTACAGCTCCAAATTTGTCTGACATCAGAAATTAAAAAAAGTTCAGTGGATTGCCAAGCCAAAGGCCCAAAAAAGGACTTAAGACCAAGTTTATAGACAAATATAACTCCGAAGGCAAAGCATATCAACATAGGAAATTACAAAAGAGAACAATGTTTTGACATTGACAAATGTTTGCATTTGGAAATACAAGATCATGCTTTATTCAAAACTTCTTTTTGGTTTTTGTATGTTTGTTTTTTGGTTTTAGTTTTTCCTTTTTATTATCCAATAAAAAATCCATTTGAACCATAGAAAAAGAATAGTTACGTTGTTTGGGACAACTTCTCCATAAAGCAAGGGCTTTTGTAGAATGGACTTTAAAGGAAGTCATTCAAGAAAAGTCCTCTTGATATACAATTATGTTTGGTAAGTGCACTTTTTAAAAGTTCTATATGAAAATTTCATTTTTAAATATTTTAGTAATTTTCTCAAAAAGTACAAAGAAATGTAAATTCATGACAATGAAAGTGATGTAGGTCAGTATTATTATAGAGACAACACCATCATTTAAAAGTTTTATTTAAATGAGTATTAGACTTCATGAGAAGTCACTGTGAAAGCCACCTAATGGAGCTTCCACTGAATGGACTTTTAGAAGCATGCACTTTTTAGAAAAGCTCGTGTACATAAACTCAACAAGCAACCATTAAATCTTTGGAAGGACTTTTAATGCCCGGAAGTCCGTTTTGCATATCCGCCAAACACCCATAAAACTATGAAAATAACTTCCAAGTGCACTCAAAATCTAAAAAATTCTAATTAAAAACTATATGGTTTGTGAAAATTACTTCCAAGTGCACAGAAAATCTAGAAAATTCTAATTAAAAACTATATGGTTTGAGCAACAATAAAACAAACTATGAAAACTCTTCTTGATTGAAGCTATTCTCTAGCTAAAATTACCAAAAGGGAAAGAAAAGCACACCTAGAATAGGCAATGTGTTTGCAGACATCCAAGAAAGGCTCTATCAGCAGTTCTCCTCTGTCAGACTTGACATTCTTCATTCCCTCCAAAGCAGGGCTAAACACGGTCCCCTCCATTTTCAAGGTTTACTGCATAATTTAGATATGTAAATAAACAAACATGTTATTTAGTAATTAACTACACAAGTTCACATGAAATTTCTTTATCTCTGTGATAAAAACTACATCACCCACTAACCCAAATCTAATGGAGGATTTTTATATGTTTGGCCATTTTCTTATTTTAGTCCTTAAATCCTTTTTTTCTTTTTTTTCACTTTGATTATTCATGTTTCCAGTTTTTTCGAAATTAATTAACTTATGTCTAAAATTAGACAAAGAATGATAATTCAAACATCAAACTATTGTTCTAATTTGACAAATCACATCATGTTGCAATAACAAAATAGTCAAATTTGAGCAAAACCTACATATAATCATATACATAAAGAGAAATTATACAGACATACATACAAGTATGAACCAAGTGAAGAGCCCCACCATGAATTGATCAAAGTCCTTATCATCCAGAGGTTAATTACCATTTCCAAGAACCGAATACTTGGCCACCACATGCTGCGATTGCGTGAGCTGCGCATCAATCCTCAGTAACTAATTCACCAGCGTATAAGAGCACAACTTTAAGCAAGCATTCATATTTTTGTTTGGCAACTATACCCTGTATTTCCTTACATGTTTGTTGGCCCTCTAGTTATCTTAGGTACAACCAGAAATGTGTTTGCAGATGATAACAAGCAACTACCAACTGTGACCCACATCACTCCAGATAATCAATTTTAAATTACTATACATCTTATCATGAAGAAACTTCAGATTATTCAAGAAAAACCTCCAACATTTTAAAACGGGAAAATTAGGTCTAAGGAACACCCAATTAAAGAAAAGGGTTTAGGGTTTATCCATGATATAGTTTGCAAGTAAACCAAGCTGTCCAATCAACAATCTAGAAAGTCTAAAATAAGCATCCATGGAACTTGAAAATTAATTGAATATGAATAAAAGAAAATACAAAAATCATTCAACCAAGAAACACTTGAAGGTAAACAGACTCAGTTTCAAGCAAACAATAAAGGGTTTAGGGTTTTAAGGGCAAAAAATTAACAAAGAATATCAAGAGAATTGAGGAGGGAAGTAGTTACAAGCTCGACAATCTCTTCAAGAACAGAGGTGACTTGTTCACCTCCTTTGAGGAGAGCTTCATATTGAGAAGCGTTCCATTTAGTTTCCTCACCTTCTTTTGATTCATCGTCGTCGCAATCTCTAGCACATCGTCGGTCTCGCCGTTGATGGATAGACAGATATACGAATATAGAGAGATTTTAGAGAGAGAAAATAGGGCAAACTAGGTGAATTGGTGCTCTGGTTGCCCGCGACCACTAGGGGGAGTGGCGGAGGCGCGGTTGGTAGAGCGGCGGTGAGAAAGGAAGGGGAGAGGAGCAGCAGAGAGGGAGAGGCGGAGAGAGAGAGACATTGAAAAGAGAGAGAGAGATAGAGGCGCTGGTTTGTGGTTTGGAAACCAAATATATATATATATATATATATTACACCATTAGCCAATTAATTTTATAAATCTCTCCAAAATTTGAAATGTCTCCCTCCAAATATTTTAGCTTTTTGGTGACTAAAATTTTTTTTTGTCGTTGAAAATAAGTTTTTGGCTACCAAACATTTGGTCGCCAAAGATAAAAAATAATTTTTTATTTTCCGTTCGGCGACTAAATGGTTTTAGTAGCCAAAACTCAATATACGACAACTAAAATATTTTTTTGTCGCTGAAAATATGTTTAGCCAAAACTCAATATACAGCGACTAAAATATTTTTTTGACGACCAAACTTTTGGTCGCCAAAGATAAGAAATAATTTTTTATTTTCCATTCGGCAACTAAATTGTTTTAGTAGTCAAAACTCAATATACGACGACTAAAATATTTTTTTTGTCCCCAATTCTGGTATTTTTAGTGACTAATTTTTTTTAGTCGCCAATAATCAATATACCTCGACTAAAAAAATTTAGTAGCTAAATATTGTACTTTTGCCGACTAAAAAAATTTTTGGTCGCCAATTCCACAACTTTTGGCGACTAAATTTTGATCGCCAAAGGTACATTTTGTTGTAGTGAAAGTATCCGTAAAAATATTCATAAAAACATCAAGTGTATGAACATCTATAAAATCTATCATTGTTTGCATACATCAATCAAACATGTTATCACAATTTGTCTATATCGATAGTTTTGGTAGTTACTACATTAGGGTTGACAAACGTACGAAATTCATGAATACGTGTAGTATATGCTTTCTCCTATCTACTAGCACACGGATGATGAAAATGAATCCAATTATTTGCTATCGGAGGTACTAGATGACCAAGTTGCAGATAAACCTATAACAAATACATCAATAAGTAGAATTACAAAATAAGACATAGTAATGATCTAAGTAGGGTCGGTAGTTTATACCTGCCTGAAATGTTTTGTAACGCCCTCAAAATATGATATAAATAAACCATTCATAAAATCTATGGACATAATAGAAATGTTAAATTTTCATTCATCAGAGTCTATATTACAAAAGATATTACATGCATTACACTTTCATAAATGTTTATCTTGAAACTATAGCATGTAACTCTAATTGTTAACAACAAAATAAGTGCCCTACGGGCTTACGTCTTTCCAAGTTGTCACATGGTTACAACAAAAGAAGAGTCCTAGCTCTATACATATAAAGCCCGCGGCTTGAATTTACATTAAACACAAAACAAAATATGAAAAATGGAGCCTTCAGCCCCTAAACCTCCTAAGCTATATCCTTGGAGGCTGCATGTCACCTGCACCTGAAAATGGTTGCCTAAGTAGGGTAAGCCAAAACCCAGTAGAGATATGCTAAACAATATATGAGAATTAACTAAAATATGAGCATCAAATAAATGTGCAACATTCTTAACCAACACATATTCTTTTCAAGGTCATTGAATATAGATAATCAATATTTCAGTTCATTTCCATTCTTCCACTTTGGGTAAATCAATTAACCAAATTCATTATTATCAAGGCAACCAATATGAGACTACAACTTAATGGTTCAAAATTCAATACATTCATCAATCCAACATTTCTATTTCTTGCCATTTTACAGAACCACATCCGAGGGAACCGGCACCCATAAATATATAAGATCTCAGGACTTTCACCATGTACACTCCGACTAACTTAATTCTCAATGGAGTCCATCCCCTATCTCCTCCCACACAATGGAGTACATCCCCTATTTCCTTCCAAACAATGATACATATACAATGTATTTAAACACGTTGTCATATACAATGACTAATCAAAACACATATTCAATGGTTTAATCAAACCGTCATATTCAATGACATAATTCAGTTGATTGGTTTCAATCTTCCTAATTCTCATGCAGTTTCTACAACAATCATAGCTATCCTCCATCGATATCCCAAAACAGATATTTCTAAACAAATAAATAAATCTATCAACAGATAATTTATCAAATTCCCATAGGTGAGTGATTTATCAAATCCAACTATGCCATTCATTTACACATTCCCCCAATTTCATATTTCCCAAACCAATTTCATTATTCATACAAAATGATTATTTAGTTCAAATTAGGGCAATCTTCCCCCATTTCCCAAACATTACACCCAAGACCAAATTTCACCAATGATACTCAAGCAATATCATATTCAAGACCTCTCATACACATATGGTACCAAATATGGAAAACCCTTCCTTCAAATATCAAAACCCTAACCCTAACTTCACCCAAATCTTTCCAAATCCCACCATTTATACAAAATGACAAATATCTAGGTTAAAGCTCATAACAAAGAGTAGAATATCCCTACCTCAAGTGTAGAGCTCAAGAGGAAGAAGGAGAAACTTTGAAGATGTCCCAAACTCAACTTTTCTTGGATGAAATGGAAGCCCACAAGATACTCTATCTTTTCAATAAAGGGACAAGGGTTGAGAGATCTCCAAATCAAGGTGTATTTAGAGAGAGAGAGAGGCTGCCGGATTAGGGTTTGGAAAAGAAATGAAATCAAAAAGTGATGTAAAATAACTCTGCTGCGAACTGATATACGTGGTCTTCGCTTGAGCGAAGGAGTTGTTGCTTGAGCGACCAGACACAACAAGTGACCTCGCTCGAGCTCAAGAAACGTCACTCAAGGGCACAATGCCAAGCTTCAGGTCTACTATATACGCAGACGCATGCTCTAGCGCAAGAAGTCTCGCTCGAGCGAAGAAACAATTCCTTAAAGCTCGCTCGAGCACAAGAAGCCTCGCTCAAGCAAAGAACTTACATCTTCCCAAAAAAACTGCGTCTGGAAAAGAAACCTGAAGACCCTCAGTTCTCGCTCGAGCGCAAGAGACCTTACTCAAGTGCAAAAACAAATTACACAAGGCTCGCTCGAGCTTAAGAAGCCTCGCTCGAGCGAAGAGGCCAAAATCTATACAACAACCATTTGAATCAACCAACAACCAACCTGTTCCAAACTTGCCCAACAAGTCCCAACACTCGAATTCAAAGAATTAAAGGAAAGAAACAAGACGTAAACAACAACCTATAATCACAAAACTCGAGTCCGGAACACAATAAAGGTCGGGGTAAAACTGGGATCGCTATATGATTTCCATTTACAAATCCTATGTAGATATCTATTCGATCAGTGTTGCAATAGGTACTGATCTAAGTGGTAGAACCGTCAAGCACTGTTACATGGATAAATGATAAAGAACGACTCCGTAGTATGATGCTAATGGCCTATGTTGGGCGTAGTCATCTAATGATTAAATCCAGGGCTAGATTCGAAGTAGAATAAGATAGAAGTAAGGTCATCAACCCTTTCCTTTGAACCAAATAGTTGTACGTAGTGCATTACATTCGAATGTAGCTCTAGTGTAAGTCTTGGTTTTCTGCCATTAATAATGACAAATCAAGGGCTAGTTTGGCATGTACTAAATAAGTCAAAAAGTCACTATCTTATTTAAGTCACATCATCTTATTTAAATCACATCACCTCTCTAACACATCACATCAAACCCAACCCAAACCCACCAATAAGTCAAAAAGTGCACTTTTTTAGGACATCTCAAACCAACCCTTTTTCCAACGTCAGAAGCCCATTTCATTAATGCTTGATGACTACTAAAAATCTAAAGATAATAAATACATTTATACGTCAAATTATTAATAAAACTCAATACAAATTAAAAATAAGAAAAATTTGTATTCATAAAAAAACTTAACAGATCTCGTCTGTAATAAATTCATGACTAGAGTCCACTAGAGTCCACTAATAATGTAGTACTTGCATTGTTGCAATGAGGAGAAGCATAATCCTTTCGAACAAAAAAATAAAAAAATATATAAAAAAATGAAACTGAAAATACACGGTAATGAGTAGCCGAACAAATTAAAAAAATTCGACATTGGGTTACCGGAAATATATCTTTTATTTGGCAGTTGGTTACCAGACATATATTTTTTGTTTAGCAATGTGATGTCAGACTATTTTATTTTGTTTGATTCGAAACACTGAACAAAAGTTGAAGAACAGTCCAAAAAAACGAAACAAAAACTTACCGAAACAAATAAAAAAAACGCACCATTTCACTTTTTTGATATTTTTTCACCACCGTTTCTTCATCCATTGCTTTCTTCTATGATCAAAATACTATAATCTTTACTTTTTGAAAAGAGATGTGTAAGAGAGAAGAAAAATTGAGAGAGAAAGAAAGGAGCGGAGTAGTGAAGACTAATAAGTGTAATGAGATAATAAAATATATTTAATTTTAGTATTTTATCTTTAAAAGTAATTTCACACATAGATAAAATTGAAAGAACAAAAAAAAAAATCTGATACGGAGGATGTAAAGAAGTAGTGGTGTAAATAGAATCACTCTATTTAGTTATAGATATATATTAAGAGTAATGTTAGGGATTCCAAATATTTTATTAAGTTTTCCATTAAATGTTTCACATGAGTTTAGAACATACATGAGATCCACATGGTATGAGTTTCACATTCACGTGAGAAATTTAATAAAATATTTGGAATCTCTAACCTTTTTCATATATTATAGACCTTCTCATCATGTCTTTTAACAATAGAGGAATCACAAAATGTAAAATGTAAAATTCAAATTGATTAAATTAAAATTTTAAGTATTAAAATAAAATTTCATACAAATTAAAACGGACTGACTATGTAATTAAGATTATCTATATCCAAACCTTCAAAAATTTGTATGTTAAATTTCTTTGAAAATTTAAGTGTCAAATTGACATATGTAAATTTGATATACCTAAAAGAAAATTCCACCCGGTGTGTTAAACTTAATATTTTATTGCATTAATTTTAATTGTTTTTATTTTAATTTTTTTAAACTCTTTTATTGGTTCTCACTATTAAAATATTAAAAAAAAGCATTTGACGTCTTCTTTATGGTATGCCAAATTTGACATTG